AAATAAAAATCGAAATTATATAAACTTTTTATTTTTGTGTCATTTTAATTATTTTGACGAAAACTTTCTAATGATATATTTCATTATAAAAAACAATGATTTTATTATAATTTAATAAATTACATAAATTAATTAGAACATATAAACAACTCATTCGGTGTAAATAGATTATTTTACTTGTTCTGTTTTGTCAAATTACGTCTTACCAAATACTGAACAGCTGTTTTGGACACCAACCACACGCTTAGTTATATGAAAATTATGCTAGAATGTAAAGACTCATGGGTTGTTACTTGTTAACCTTAGAAATCTTCACCATTTTTGTTCCAAAAAAAGCCACAAAAGCCATAAGTTACTTTTTACATAGTTGTAACATCACAGATCCACCGTACCAGATATTATTCGTTTTATACATACCTGAACTCACGGTTTTACAAGACAAGCCAACGCCCCAAGATGCCAACACAAGAAGCAGCAAACCCTTTTTTCTACAAACCACCCCGGAGATCGAGTTCCCATAACCATTTTTGCAAGAACTCGATCCTCCGTTTACTCAAACTCCGAAGCTCTTCCAAAAGTTTAACATGGTGGCGGTTGACGACGATATGAATTTGAAAGTACAACATTCTCCTAATGGAAAGGGCTCGTCGGATCTCAAACCGTCTCCTCTTTTGTTGATGTATCCCGGATAATCTTCGAGCTTGAATTCGACACATTCGAGCAATGTCAAACGACTTTGGGAGGCGAGTTCTACGATATTCCAACAGTCGAACGGGAATTTAGTCTTGTGGGATACGTGGACTTCGCCGTTTGGTCGCAACATTTGACTTGCATTCTTGAAGAAACTGAAAACCAGATATCTATGGCTCCTACAAGTTGAATACAGAATGAAGACATTAAAGGCAAAAATGTCTTAATAATTGTCGAGCTTGAGTCTATCTCGAACACACACAAAAGCGTGTTTAACTTAACAAGTTGAGCTCCATAACGCAAATGTTCGACTCCGCTCGTTCGAAAACTCGATTAAATTTTTCGAGTCAAGCCAAGCTAAGCCATTCGAGCATACACTTTTTCGAGCCAAACATGTTAATGAGAATCATATAATCAAACTATCAAAGTATTAAAATTATTGATAGAAGCATCCTAAAAAGATACTTTATAAGACTTAAGTTTATGGGACCAGACCAAATAGCGTCTTATCTAAAAGTGTTACAATAGGTTTATAGGATGCTTTTAGGCGTTTTAACAAGCTTTTTAATACATCTTTAAAATAAATTGTCTTGCTAACTATTCTATACGACACTGTTTGAAAAGGTGTCATATAAAAAGATGGGTTTATAAATCTATATATTTCTTTTAAGGGGGGGTGTTTGGGACCTTATTTGAAACAACTTATGCTTTTCTACAAAAGTCTTTATCGACTTATTACAAGTTAGAACGGGTTCTCTTCAAAAACTCTTTATTACCAGTTTGGCACCGGTATAAGCTCTTTATCCAAACACTCAAAAGTGTTTATTACCGGTGTCACATCGGAATAAGTCAATAMGTTGTTTTTATAARCAATCCCAAACACCCCCTAAATCTTCATAAGAACAATAGATTGTTTGCAAGAAAAGACCAAATATGATAGTTTTGAGAAGCAAATTAGTATGAATGCATGTATAAATAAGCTTACAAGATAACTCCGTCATCGCTTTCTTTTCCTAAAAAACCAGCATGCGGGAAATTGAACACAATGCGATCAAACTTTCGCAGATAAAGATCCCTATGAAACTCCATCGTGCATGCATCAACCCCGAATAAGAGCCGAGCTCCCAAATTACCCAATCGATTCAAGTTTGTTTCCGCACTCTTGTATTTCTGAATCACATCATCTAGCAAAATGAAATTATCGTTACAATTCATTATGCATTTAAATGAAGAATGTACGGCAGATGCAACAAATAAACTCACACACCTTCTCCACCTTTGGTGAGGATTGAACCCCTGACTTACCACCAATCTTATTATCAAATTCATGATAAGCCCAATATATTTCATGATCTAAGGGCAAAGTTGGTCTCTAAGATTTGAGAAGGATTTGGAATCGGAATCTTTGGTGTTTTGATTTTGTAGGAAATGTATAAATAATTACAAAAATAGTTAAATCACCTTTTTATTAATTGATTACTAAAAAACAAATGTTTTTTTAAAAACATTATGTTATACAAATACTATGAAATCTCATAAAATACCGACCATCCCATAGGATTTTAAAATTCACAGGTATCATTTAAACCAAAGGATTGGGATGAAATTTAATTCTAAATCCGATTCAATCAAACCAAAACAAGATCTTGAAGTACGGAATTGAAATCCCGATATATCAATAAAATCACATTAAGATTGGATTTAGAAATCCAAATATTTCATGGATATCATATCACTCGCTACATCAACATGGTAACCGATTAATGTTTCAACCTATTACCCAGGTACTTAAATTTTTAAAACTTTACATTTTAGGTACCAAAATGAAAGTTTTGAAAATACGTCAACCGAAATAGAAATCAAATTAAAGTACGTTATTTTTTCTTGCAATTTGCCCTTTAAAATACGTTAATTTTGTAATGATATTTAATCAAACATGTTCATTAAACACATTAATTTTGTAATAATATTTAATTATTTTTAAAATTATTTATAATTTGTTTTTTTTTTTTTTTTGAAATATCTATAAATAATTGAACTAATTCCCATTCCAAAAACCTACCAAAAATTCAAATTTCTATATGAAAATCCAAAATCAACCGATTGTTATCTAATTTACATTCCCTCCCGATCGTTTTTCAATGCAGCTTCATCATGATCGAATGCAGAAAGGTACAAAAACAACAAAAACAAGTCAAAATTATATTCAATGAACGCCATAACTAAACAGACCTTCATACAAACTAGAAACTATTAGCAATCAACGAACACGATGGACAAGTAGAATGTACGAAGCTGATTAACGAAACCTAGCTAGCTACGGTTTCGAAATTGCGATTTAACAGAATAAGGATCGATTGATTACCATAAGAATCGATAGAAGAAGCTACGATTTTGAAACCTGATTGAAAGGAATCAGCCAAACTGAGAGCAAACGAGAAATCGCCTTCTCCAACCAGCAGAATCCGATGATTGGACGAGTAATGCTTCGCCCAAATCTCTTTCTGGTTAAATTGTGTGCTTCTATTCATGAAAAAATAGTGTTCATACCTTCTTGCAATTTCCTCCATTGTTCTCTCTCACTAGAAAACTAGAGAGAGAAGTAGAAAGTGATGGCGACGTAGGAGACTGTGAAATGTGAATGAAAAGTGACTTGAATGATTGTCAATGGGAAAAGACAATTGGAATATTACTAAATTACCACTGGGATTTAGTGGAGGAGTGTTTAGCAATTGCTGAATGATTTGGTGTCGAAAGATTAAGTGGTCATAATGATTAAGAGGCTCTTATGATACAGTGTAAAATGAAATGTAATTGGATGGTAATTGTGTACAATAAAATTAGGGCTCTTAATGGTTTAAGGGAGATCCAAGATACAAAATCAGGGTTTTGGAACAATTAAGAGACAAACTTTTTTTTCCCAAACAAGATTAATCTCTTAACGATTCAGATGTTGCCTTTTAATGGAACCATTAAGAGTTAAACAAAGGGTGTGTATTTGAGGGTAAAATGGGAAATAAAAATTTCAATACTTTTTTTAAAAAATTAAGCTGGATATTCAACCCGCTACATTAGTCGACTAATCTCAGAATGATCATCTGTTTTACGGGTAGCACAGAGTCACCGATTTGTACTTTCATGGCCATAAGGGGATTTTTATTTCTACTTCGATTCGAATCTAAGATCTTTAAGTAGCTTTGATCTTTAGAGTTCAAGCTCAAACCAATCAGATATTATTTTTATGGTTAATTTCAATAAATTTGATGTGTACAGGGTGGGAGGCATAGAATGAAGCCATGTCCCTTTTTTTAGTGGATGATTGTTGTGTAGAATAATGGTTACCAAATAAAATCCAAAGGGAAAAGAGGCTTCTAGTGGAAGATATAAATAGCTTCTATTGGAAGATACAAATATCATTGTTATTATGAGTTAGTTTAACTGATAACAATACGTGATTATTTAATAATTATTAGAAGGGTACATGTATAATGTAACAAGATACGTTTTGATTTTAGTATTTTATTTTATTCTTTATCTCAGTCGATGTTATAATATGGTCTTATGTGATTTTGAAAAAACGATGATGCTTTTATTTTTGAATAAAATATAAATTTGAGAATATCATAAAATTTTGACAAAAATATATCGATATTAGTATCAAATTAACTATTTAAAATTTCTATTTTTTGTGTAATTTTTTTATTTAATTTTTTTATTATAATTTAATTTAGGTTCAATAACAAAGTAATTTATACTTGGTTTAATAATATAATTTTTTTTAAATATAATAATTAATTATTTTGTTAGAACTCGATAATTATCCTAATTATATTTTAGATTTTTTATATTTTGAAATGAGATGTTTATCTTCTATTTGATTATGTTTATTCGCAGTTAGTTACACGAATTCAAACATAGAGCTTTAATAAGTTGTGTTTATGCATAATTTACTTGTAATCTTCAATTTTAAGTAATATGCATCAATATACAGTACTTTATGCATAAAAAATGATTTTTAAGAGTTTTTGTCAAATGTTTTATAATATGGTATAGATACACACACACCCACACTACAAGGATATCAGCGTAATATAGCGAGATATATCTCGATTTTAATACTTCAATTTATTCATTTTCTCTGTTGATATAATACGGTTTTATGTGGTTTTTAGAAAACGATAATAGTTTTATTTTAAATGGAATATAAATTTGAAAAAAAAAATATCGATATTAGTATTGAATTAATTATTTAAAAGTTCTCGTTTTCCGTGTGATTGTTTTTAATTTAGATTCAATAACAAAATAATTTATTTTTGTTTAATAATATAATTTTTATAAGGTTTGTAATTAAGTATTTCGTTAAAACTCAATGATTATCCTAATTATATTTTAATTTTTTATAATTAAAATTAGATGTTTATCATGTATTTGATTATGTTTATCTACAGATAGTTACACGAATTTAAAATAGAGATTTAATAAGTTATACTTACGCACAATATACTTGTATTATTGAACTTTAAGTAATGTGCATTAATAAACAATACTTCATGCATAAAATGATTTTTAAGAGGTTTTGTCAAATGGAAAATTGCACCACAATGGAACCAACTTCCACCTAATTTCTATTTGGGTAACCAACTTTTAAAATCGTCATTTTGGGAAACCAACTTGCATCTGATTTATATTTTGGGGAACTAACTTTTAAAATCGTCATTTTGGAGAACCGACTTGCACCTGATTCCTATTTTAGGAAACCAACTTGCAAAATAATTATAGAAAAATAACTAAAATTCGTTTTTTTTTTCCAAAAATTAATGCAATAAAATCTATTTTTCATTTCAAATCTTTTTTTTTAATTCAGATATCAAATTGAACATTTAAAAAAAATCCAAGTTACCACAATAAAAATTGATTTTTACTAATGCAAAAAAAATCAATT